TTTGTGGTGGATGCATCCCTGTAGTGACATTTGCAAATACTGGGAGCTGCAGCTCCTGGCCCCTGCAGTGAGCTTCATGTGGCTTCCAGGAGCTGTGCAGAACACTATGGCTCCTTGTAGCTGAGGGGAGAGTTCCCCATGGTTCAGAGTCACCACAGGAAATGCACTGCAGAGGCTGGGAGCCGCAGTGAGTTCCTCGGCTGGGACAGGAGATCTATGAATAGGCAGAAAAGCAAACAGCAATTCCGCAAAGCACAAGGGTCTTCTATACACATTTTTCTTTATTAATTATATAAGCTAGTCAGATTCTAGCTCTGCATAGGAGAGACATGATGGTCTTCTAATAAGCAATAGTTGGCGTATAATGTAAAAATCTTTGAGTTAAACGAGTTTACCACATTTGTTCTGTTAATATATTCCTTCATGCATCTTGCTGTCGCCATGAACGTTTTAAAGAATGCTTTCCTCTCCACCATAAGTGTAGCTGCCACATACTAGAAAGGCGCTAACATTTCTAAAATCCAGGTGCTAGACAGTTATCTTTCCATACAAAAGATCTGCAAAACACAAGAGAAAAAAAAATGAGAGTCATGAAATACATGCAGGGTGATTTCTATCATCTTTTCTAGCTTAAGAAACATATTCTGTTTTCTTGGCAATCATTTATTCAGTTCCAAATCTCATGCCCTAAACATCCCTATTTCAAGAGATTTTGAATGAAAGGCCCTCTCTTATAAGGCAGATACTGAGAACTTCTCTAACACTTTATATTGAGGCAGAGGAAACAAGATCCACCAAATACAAGACTTATTCCTATTATGGTAGTGCATAAAGGCCGCAACACGGATTGGGACCCATTGTGCAGAATACTGTCAAAATATTAGAGAAGTAATTAATTACCTTGAAGTACAGATTGAATCTTTCTAGTCCAGCATTCTCGGGACGTGACTGATGCTGAACCAGAAAATGTGTTGAACCACAGAAGGTCAATATTGCCTATTTCTTACAGGCTCTGAGAAGACATTTTGGGGTAAATTATAGCACCAAACTTTATGTAAACAAACTTTATGGGACCACAGAAATCTGGGCCACATCCATGGTAAGTGGATATTGACTAACTTAAAATCAGGCTGAACCACAGATGTTGCTGAACGAGAAAGAATGCGTAATAGAGATGTTCAACCTGTACTTACAAACTAATGACAAAGGATAGGGCAGAGGCAATAGGGATACAACACACCAGTGAATAAGCATGGAGACTGTTATATGTTTTTGCTTAAAGTGAGATGAAGTAAAAAGGGAGAGGGGGAGAAAATGTCACAGCTAGTCAACCTGCCAGGTAAGCAAGGTTTTGTAGAATTTGATCTATCATGATGGCTAAGTAGTAATTGGAAAAAGGATTAGATGAAGTTGAATTACTTTTCCCCATGTATAAGGGGCAACACAGGAAAAGATGCAGAGGCATTTAAGGAAGCTGACGGGGGGGGATTTAAGACTGGGGATAATGGCAGACAAATTCTGATGAACAGATAGATTAATAGGGTGAGGCTACATTGTGACAGACTTTCGTTTTATTTATACCCTATTTGTACTCTGATAGCACTCCATCTTAAAGATCAGGTGATAGGCATTTGATCAAACGGGCTGTAGGTGTATAAAATAATTCTCCACTTTTAAATTGGACTTTCAAGCCTTTCTAAAGATTTAATACAAATGAGACCAACAATGGTTCTCACTCTGCATTAGCTCATTCTAATTTGATTTTACAATTGGCACATTGTAGTTTTATCTGACTATTGTATTTTCAGTTGTTCCAAAAGATCGATGGATTTGAATTCATTTTGTTCAGTGCACAAGTGCACTAAAATAATTAGTTTATCCTTTATATGAAAGATATGAAATGCTTTGCCATTTTCTGCAAAAACACAAATATACTCACAGTTTGCTGACCACATTACTTCATATTGGCTCTTAAAGACCTGTAATACTCTCCACACAGAAAGTGTATCTTCTCTCAAGCTGTTTCAGCAATATTTGTTAACTTGAATTATAAAGCAAGCAAGAGCCTGCACATACAGGGCGCGCGCGCACACACACACACACACACACACACACACACACACTTTTTTCAGAAAAGTGATATAGCTCTTTTTGTGATGGTTGTAATTTTTTGGAATGGTTCTTCAGTTTTCCAATTTTTTTAAGTTAGCGTTATTGGTAGCTTTTTCTTTTTTGTTTTTGTAAATCTTGAACCATTCCATATTATATCTTTATTGCAAAAAGTCAACATGCATTTTAGAAATTCAGATTGTAATCAATAAAACAAACATTACATATATGAATTTAAATGTATAAACAGTTAGAAATTCAACAATATCTCCTATTTTACTATTACACAAGTTCACAATTTTGTAAAAACTATAGTACAAGTTTACTATACAACAAGAGGAACTTATATTCCTTTTCACATGATTTTGTTAAAAACTGTTGAAACATTTTCATCACAAATGGGCATGTGTTTTCAAATTACTCTTTTCAGCTCATGGGCTGTTATACTTCAGAACTTAATTTGATGATACAGGAATGAAGAATAATTCTTCATTCCAAGGTTTAATGTTTAGCATTTACAGTTGTATTGTCTGTAAACTAGGCTTTAGTGTGGTAACATTTTATTTTTAAATTTTCTATGGTGTATATATATGATTATGAATTATGTCAACTGTACTTTCTAAAGGTGTACAGTATAATTTCATAATAAAAATAAAACATTACCATAAAAATGTTCACTCTCAATTACCTTCTTAAAATAAACAAATTTAGTATTACCTACTAAGCCCTAAAATACAACACAAGGAGAGAGATCTAGCTTTGGCAAAATGAAGGTATTTTTTAAACAGCTTTCCTACTCTTTAAATACCAAATTAAACCAGTTATTGTTACGATGCCCATCACTTATACTCCAAAATAATATAATAGCATGTTTTTAATACAGAAGCTAATTTCAGAAGCACAACTCACTTTTATGCTTCAACACTTAGAAGCCCTGTTTGGGATGTGACTTGAGGATTTACGTAAGGCTACCTACCAATGTATATACCAAAGGAAATTTTAGATAAATCTCTCCAAGGCCCATTAACTACAACTTCCACCCTTTCCTCTCACCTATCTCACCCAACTAACAAAGCCAATACATAGGAGGAAGTGCAAAAGTATTATCTGACCAAAATGTGTCAATCAGGTGTATCCTTTTAGAGTTTAAAACCATATGAAAAGGAAACCCCAATCTATTTAACTGTGTCAAAGGCTACTGACATTTCTCTTACAGCTTCATTCATTCACTGTAATCTTCAGTTTCCAAATACAAAAATACAACAATTCTTATTGAAATCTATACGCTGGTAGTTTTTAGTACACAAAAAAGCAAAATATTTACAAAATGATACAGCTTAAGAAAAAACTCTGTACAAAAAATATATAAATCCTTTGTTCCCGCTAGCAGTTTTTAAACCATCAGGACTCAAACATTTGCTGTTCCGGATCTTTCAAAATATACACTGAGCCACAGACATTAAGAAAATGAGCGGTGGTAGGAGAAGAGCAAGGATTAGTCTTCTAGGTTCAAAGTATTAATCTTTCTCATCATTCCTTTATAAATTAAATTTAAAACGCAGCATTTAGGAATGCAGTATTTAATTTGAAATTGGAAGTCTTAATATGAAGGGGGGGGGGGAATATTGAAGGACATATTCCCTCCAACTGACACAAACTTTAAGCAATCAAATTGTTGCTTCTTTTACACGTAATCACAGCAAAGGGATACTTCAATGGAGAGGAAGCATACAAGGGGCAACCTGAAAGAATGTGACTTCAAGTAACTTGCTTCGTTCAGCCTAAATTAAAGTTTCTGGTACATGTTGTGAGTACTTTGAATCAGGAACCAGTTGCCAAATACTCTGGGTGTGCTAAATCTCTGAAAGCAATATATCATTTCGAAAGCCAAGAATGTATGAATTTGGTACATGTATGTAACAAAGCTGTTAAGTATCCCAGCAGTTGGTGCAGTATGTTTGCTCTGCTCCTCCAAACTGACATTCAGAATACAAAGACATAATTTTACACGGCTACTTACATAACAGAGAACTCCTACTCTACAGAGTGTACAGTACAGATGGATATAGAAAAAAGGAAAAAGCATACTGAACAATGTATTTATATTCATGAACACCAAGACCCACATAACAGAGTTATGAAGATCTATGGCTCTCAAGGGTCTAAATTTATTAGTCCCATTTCTATCGCAATCACCACCATTATTTTTTTGGTGTTTGTTTTGTTTTAAAATAGCATAGAGACCAAGACAACTGAAAATTTCATAATGTGTTTTTAATTAAACTGCACTTTAGAAAAACTATTTGTATTTATATATTAAAGTGAGTTTTAAACACTAGTCTTAAGAATATCACTTAAAGTGCTGGTATAGTATAAACCTCTGAGTGGGATATTTACTTTTGATGGGGCAGAAAAAAAAATATCCAATCTTATTTTGAATACTGTATGGGTTTGGCCTGATTATTAATAGAAGTGACAGATCTGGTCACATTATGGTGTGATGGGATAGTGGGAGAAGACTGTTCTCATGGGTGATTATTTTAGAACTCTATACAATTTTACAGGATTGACATTTACCAATACTGACAATGCAATACATCAACAGCCTGCGTTAAGCATGAAATTTGTATTTAAGCTGTAGGAAGGAACTCACACCGACAGTGAAAGAATGGAAACAATATGCTAGTGACCCAGATATCAGTGTCACTGCTAATGTTTCACAGTGAAATAGGATTTAAAGCAATTTACAGTGAACTAGCACCAGGCAGTATCATACTAATACCCTGTTAAAGTATGCAAGAGGAAACAGAAGACGAAACAGTAAAATACAGAAAAGTTGGGGTCTTCTATACTGACGCTTTGTGTGGCTCTCAAAACAGATCTTGAAGAAAACATGAATTCAGACACAAATATTTCCTGTAATAGCTGTCTCCACATGTAAAAAAATGCTACACTTTTGGAGTTAGCAAGCATGAAGCAATTGACACAATGAAAATGTGTCTGCAGCTCTCCCCTGCAATCCTAAAATATTACTAAATAAAACCTGTAACATCTTTTCATTTATATATAATAAAGCAAAACGTTAAAAAAAGATAATACAGGCGGCATGAAAAAAAGGGCTTGTCAATATTGATGAGTTTCTTCTCCATAGGAAGACCGCTACCACTGATGATCTTTATAACTCTGCAAAAAGTCACTGGGCCTTGGGCTAACCTAGTATCACAGATAAGTATCTGACATGTTCGTATCACAAACTTGTTTTCACTTTAAATCTATGTGTATCTTGCAAAGAAAAGAAAGTAAAATTTTTTGGCTCATCAACTTTTTAAATATATTTTTTTAAAAGTTGCAGTTCAAACTATATTCCTAAAACTATACAATTCCAAATCAAGTTTCATCTTCTCCAAGAACGGGATTCATCTTCATCTTCATCATCATCGTCATCATCTTCATGCAAAAATAAATCTGAGGTTTCAGTCTCCTGGATGAAAACAAAATTGTAGTCTGGTTTTAGAGATGACACATTAATGCACTTCTATACGCAAAAGGCAAATTGCTATAAAAAGCAGTTGCCACAGCAGTGTCTTGATATTATTTTAGGGTTTGGTTTACATAATGGCTTCTAAATTCCCCATGTAACATGCAAATACAATGCATTGACTCTAAAGAAGAAGCTGTGTCCCTTCCTCAATAACACAAGTATGTTGCAAAAAAAACAGTAGCATTGTTTTCATTTAAGGGAAACAATTATTTACTACAGGTGGAATACATTTGTAATATTCCTATTATGGTTTGGTTAAACAATATGTCATATCCCACCCTGTCAAGCGACATGAACAATTATCTCACTTAATTATTGCTTGGTTTAGGATGGCATGCTGGTCTGAGGAAGCACACACTCTCTCAAACATTTTCCTGTGGAACACAGGAGCCAAGTCCCACCCACTCCCAGCCTGCTCCTCTCCTGTGGAGAGCTGGGGCTGTGCCTGCTGCCCCAGCCCAGCCCTCCCATCCCCAGCAGTCAGGAGGAGAGCCATAGCTGGTGCGGCCTTGGCCAGGAGGGAGTGGAGGAGAATAGCCAGGATTGGCTGGAAAGAAGGAGAACCAGGGTGGCCTCGACCCCCTCTCCAGCAGCTGGGTGGCCTTGGCCCAGCCCTCCACAGCAGGAGGAGGGGTGGGTTAAGAGCCAGGGCTGGCCGGGGAAAGGGGGAGGAACAGGGACAGTGTTGGCCCCTCCTCAGAGGCTGGAGCAGTCTCAAAACCAGTGGCTCGGAGTGGGGGGGAGGAGGGGAGGAGTATAGATGGGGCAATCATGGCCCAGGAGGCAGAGACCCAGGGTTGCTCGGCCTGGTGAGATCCCACACTCCCAGCCCTCTCACTCACCCCTTCCACTGAGACCCCACACCGCCAACCTGCTCCTGCCCCCTCCCTCCTGGCCTGACTCCCTGCCCCCAGCCTGCTCCCCACAGCCAGACACCTTGCAAATATCTAGTAATTTACAAGTCAAAGGGATAAGATCATCTTGAGATGTGAACAATTATTTCTACCAAAATTTATAAAGAATTTTGCCCCATTGTTAGGGGGAAAAAAGGGCAGAAAGGAATCAACATTTAGTTTAGAAATCTAATACTACACTGCATCTGAGAAGCCTTTATTAACTATAGTTGGTTTTCTGAAACAAGTACTTTCATTGGCAGACCAGGTTAAGGCAAGTTTGTTTATCCAGAAAGTTTGTTTACCCACCCACCATTTATAAGTGCCCAAAACAGGCAAAACAAACAAACAGCAATCAATCTGGTACTAGAAACGAAGAGATTTACCTCATTATCAGAACTTGCGATGTGTATCTTTAGCAATCAGCACACAGAGAACTCAACTGCTTTTTGGTCCTGATAGTTTATACACTTATACATATTTTACTCAAAAATACCAATTGCTCTCAAGGATGCATGCACAGGTGCAATATCTGAGTAAGGTTTCAACATTTCTATCTTGTAAGAAATACTGTAAAGTTTGCCACAATATCTTGAGACAGCAAATAGAGAAAACCTTGTGTACAACCAAAACTCCTACTGTACTAGGAATCCTGTGAAAATGGATAAATCACTATTCCAATATACTACAGTACCTCTTCCTTGGACTCTTCTTCCTCAATGTCTGTGGACACAGAAGGTACCTTCGGTTTGTGCCATGATATCTGTAGTCTTCGGTCTTTGAATCTTGATCCTTGGTTAGCAGCCTAGGTTTTTATTTTAGATGTGTTTTAAAAGGGAATGAAAACATATGGTTCATAAAAGTTAAGAAACAAAGTAACCAAAAGCAAGCTAAATATTTTAATCAGAAGAGGTGATCCCTTTCAAAAAAGTGTCAGTGTACACTTTCCAGATTTATGCTACACAACTACCACCTCCCACTCCTACAAACTATTTCTGAGCAGCAACTTCAATACAGCGCTTAATAGGCTGAGTCACTGTATGCAAAGTGGCTCTCTGGGAACAGTAACAGGGCTGAAGGATTGCTTGGTTGGAAGATTCTTGCATTGAATCTCTGCTAATACTGAGTTCACCTACAATTTACCTAATGGCAACAAATATCCACATTGTCTATTCCAGACTGGTATGGAACAAAGCACCCTGAAGAAAGTTCATCTAGTACATTTTAGGAAAAAGTAGAATTCTTATCCTAAAGCCACAGTAAGGGAACTCTTACTGAACTTACATTTTCAGCTTCTGACCGGGACTTAAAAGTCAGAACGACACTTAAGGGAGATTCCTCTTCTTGGAGGTCTTCAATATCTCCAAATTTCTGTGAAATAGGTGTACAATAAGAAAAAATCCACCATTAAACAGGTGTACTAGTAGGTCAAACCATCACATTATCACATGGGTCTATTCAAATCTGAAATTTAAATATGGCTTTTTGGTGTTAAGAAGAAAGCTTGAGGCCAGAAAGGTGTCATAGCTTTACCATTCAGCTGTGCTATATAGCCTGGAGCCTGTCTCCAAAGAAATAAACAAATTACATGCTTTTAAAATTCACCGCTCAACTAGGAACACAGACCCTCCCCACACACAAAATGGGGTCTTCACTTACCAGAGAATTAAGAATTCTCCCCCGCAATGTATCCTATACATGCACACGCACACACACACGCCCCTACACCTTCTGCGTCACATACCTTCTCTAGTCTCAAAGTAGTTCTTTTTGAAGTTCATTACTTTGAAAAAGGAAATAGTCTAGCTACAAAGCACACCCTGCTAAGTATTCTACCTCCACAGCACTTTGCCAGAAAAACAGAAGCTTAATCAATCCATAATCACTAGATCAATCAGATGTTTGCATTTTGTAACTAATGAACAGGATGGATAAAAATGAATGCTTTTAAATATTTTTTAAATTTACATATTTTTAATTTTAAAAATCAATACAATACTAAATGTCTTGTTTAAAAATAACAGTTATAATTAATTCTCATCACAAACATGCTACACCTACACTTACAATCACATAAAAATGAATTTCTGTCTCTAGTTTGCCTAGCCTAACTACTGGCTCTTGCTTCTTGAACGAATTGGGCTTTCACTTTCTGTTTCTCAGCAGGCTAAAGTAACAAATGCAAAGAAAGACATGGTCTATAAAGCATTTTTTTGTTCTGTGCGTATATGGTGGTGGACCTGGGCCAAGCATGGCAGTAGAGTTAATTAAGTCACTATCTTAAAGACACAGACACAATATATAGGAAAAGACAAAGGCGGCATAGAAAGGAGAGAACTGGAAAAAGAAAGGAAAGACATTCATCACACACAGAGCTTCCTGTGTTCTTCCACACTTCTGCCATAGACAAACTGTCATGGTTTCTGGGCTCAAGAGAGACACTACCTGATAGTATCTTGAAGAAATTCGTTCCCTGGGTAAGAAAGGAAGATGCGTCAAGTATAAACAGTACAAGATGATGATGCAAGGCTTAGTTGCAAGAATGAAGTGTCATATGGAAAAATGCTTACTGGGAGAAAATCATGTGGATGAAGATGTTGATATATCTGAAGAACAATGTGGATTATACACACCCACACTCCACAGACTTATTCACTACAAGAGGTTTATTTCAAGTGTTTAAGTAGAGAAAAATTCAGGGAGGAGGGTGTTTGGACAAATCAACTAAATTGGACATCCATAGAAACTGCAGTGCTGATACATCAGATATGGCAAGTGTTATATTTGGGCTTTGAAGGATTAAATTTTTATCCAGTAAATATCAAGTTCACCATACACACACAAACTGATGAAAAATAATTTCCCTCAACCAAATTTAAAGCAAGACAGTGAGCGAAGCGTCTGTTGTAATTGTGCACCAGGAGGAATGCTGAAGAAATGGAACGCCCATGCAAAGATTGGCTGGTTTCGCATGACATGGAGTGTCTTAGGGACTTGTACACCATGGAAAACCAAACCTGTAGGCAGCACATGTGAAGTCGGGCAAGTGATAGTACAAAGGTCATAGCTGCCATGTGACCAAGAAGTTATAGGCAGTCCTTGGCTGTAGTGCAAGAGGAGAAATAAATCATTTTGGCCAATGTTTGAATAGTGAGGAACCTTTTGTGAGGTAGATAAGCTCGAGCTGCCATGGAATCTAGGTGGGCCCAGATAAATTGTATTCTCTGGGAAGAGTGGATAGAAGACTTTTCTCTTTATTCTAATGCCTACATTTTGAAAGCACTGTATGGATATTGCAGTCATGTGTGCGGACTATCTGTGATGAAGCCTTCAGAAGCTCAGAGAACTTGTAGGTAAGGTCCCATGGGAAGCAAGACTGAAGGGAAAAACAACTGAGGAGAGTTGGAAGTATTTCAAAGGGACGTTGTTAAGGGCCCAAAAGCAAACAATTCCGCTGTGTAGGAAAGATAGAAAATATGGCAAAAGACCAGCTTGGCTTAACAAGGAGATCTTGCATGATCTCAAAATAAAAAAGGAGTCATATAAAAAATGGAAACTAGGACAACTAACAAAGGATGAATATAGGCAAGCAACACGGGAATGCAGGGGCAAGATTAGAAAGGCAAAGGCACAAAATGAGATCAAACTAGCTACAGGCATAAAGGGAAACAAGAAGACCTTTTATAAATACATTAAAAGCAAGAGGAAGACCAAGGACAGGGTAGGCCCACTGCTTAGTGAGGAGGGAGAAGCAGTAACAGGGAACTTGGAAATGGCGGAGATGCTCAATGACTTCTTTGTTTCGGTCTTCACCGAGAAGTCTGGAGGTGTGCCTAACGTAGTGAATACAAGCAGAGAGAGGGTAAGTTTAGAAGATAGGATACACAAAGAACAAGTTAAAAATCACTTAGGAAAGTTAGATGTCAGCAAGTCACCAGGTCCTGATGAAATGCATCCCAGGATACTCAAGGAGCTGATAGAGGAGGTATCTGAGCCTTTAGCTATGATCTTTGAAAAATCATGGCAGACAGGGGAGATTCCAGAAGACTGGAAAAGGGCAAATATTGTGCCCATCTATAAAAAGGGGAATAAGAACAACCCAGGAAATTATAGACCGGTCAGTTTAACGTCTGTCCCAGGGAAGATAATGGAGCAGGTAATTAAGGAAATCATATGCAAACACTTGGAAGGTAATAAAGTGATAGGGAATAGCCAGCATGGGTTTGTGAAGAACAAGTCATGCCAAACTAATCTGATAGCTTTCTTTGATAGGATAACGAGCCTTGTGGATAAGGGAGAAGCGGTGGATGTCATATACCTAGACTTTAGTAAGGCATTTGATACGGTCTCGCATGATATTCTTATTGATAAACTAGGCAAATATAACTTAGATAGGGCCACGATAAGGTGGGTGCATAATTGGCTGGATAACCGTAGTCAGAGAGTTGTTGTTAACGGTTCTAAATCCTGCTGGAAAGGGATAACAAGTGGAGTTCCTCAAGGGTCTGTTTTGGGACCCGTACTGTTCAATATCTTCATCAATGATGTAGATATTGGGATAGAGAGTACTCTTATTAAGTTTGCAGATGATACCAAACTGGGTGGGGTTGCAACTTCTTTGGAGGATAGGGACATAATTCAAAATGACCTTAGCAAGTTAGAGAAATGGTCAGAGGTAAACAGGATGAGGTTTAATAAGGAGAAATGCAGAGTGCTCCACTTAGGAAGGAACAATCAGTTCCATACATACAAGATGGGAAGCGACTGTCTAGGAAGGAGCATGGCGGAAAGGGATCTAGGGGTCATAGTGGACCACAAGTTGAATATGAGTCAACAGTGTGATGCTGTTGCCAAAAAAGCAAATATGATTCTAGGTTGTATTAACAGGTGTGTTGTAAGCAAAACTCGTGAAGTTATTCTGCCGCTCTACTCTGCACTAGTTAGGCCTCAGCTGGAGTACTGTGTCCAGTTCTGGGCGCCACATTTCAAGAAAGATGTGGAGAAATTGGAAAGGGTACAGAGAAGAGTGACAAGAATGATTAAAGGTTTAGAGAACATGACCTATGAAGCCAGGCTTCGTGAACTGGGCTTGTTTAGTTTGGAAAAACGAAGATTAAGGGGGGACATGATAGTGGTTTTCAAATATCTAAAAGGGTGTCACAAGGAGGAAGGAGAAAATTTGTTTCTCTTGGTTTCTGAGGACAGGACAAGGAGTAATGGGCTTAAAGTGCAGCAGGGGAGGTTTAGATTGGACATTAGGAAAAAATTCCTAACTGTCAGGGTGGTCAAATATTGGAATAAATTGCCAAGGGAGGTGGTGGAATCTCCCTCTCTGGAGATATTTAAGAACAGGTTAGATAGACATCTGTCAGGGATGGTGTAGACAGAGCTTGTCCCGCCTTGAGGGCGGGGGGCTGGACTCGATGACCTCTTGAGGTCCCTTCCAGTCCTATTATTCTAGGATTCTAAGACAGTCATTGAGACAGAAGACTATGATTATTCCCATGGAATGAAGATGCACTGTGATTACAGTGAGCACTTCGGAGAAAACTCAAGGCGCTGTAGACAGGCCAAAAGGTAGGACCTGGTATTGGTAGTGATCTGGATCTACCATGAATCTTAGGACTCTTCTGTGGGCAGGATATCTCAGAATATGAAAATAAGCATCTCAGAGGTCGAGGGCTGAAAACCAGTTCCCTTGTTGCAATGCTGGGCTAATGGCATATAAAGTGACCATGCAAAAGTGTGGTGTCTTGATGAATTTGTTCAGATTGCACAGATTTAGAATTTATCTCCAGTCTCCCGGGCTGCGTCTAGATTGACATGATTTTACGCAAATACTTTTAACGGAAAAGTTTTTCCGTTAAAACTATTTGCGCAAGAGAGCATCTATACTGGCATGTGCCTTTGCGCAAAAGACTAGCTTTTGCGCAAAAGCATCCATGCCAGTGTAGACGCTGTCTTGCGCAAGAAAGCTCTGATAGCCATTTTAGCCATCGGGCTTTCTTGCACAAGAAATCAACTTGGCTGTCTACACTGGCCCTCTTGCGCAAGAATACTTGTGCAAGAGGGCTTATCCCTGAGTGGGAGTGTCGGAGTATTTGCGCGAGACCCACTGATTTTGTACAGTACAAAGTCAGTGTTCTTGTGCAAATACTCGGGGCCAGTGTAGACAGACGGCAAGATTTTGTGCAAAAGTGGCTGCTTTTGCACAAACTCTTGCCAGTCTAGACGCAGCCCCAATGTCTGAGTTAAAAAGTAACGGGACTAGAAGCCTCTGTGCTGATGTAGGACCAGTTCTACAGCCCCTAGATCTAATAAGTGCAGCACCTCTTGTTGGAGCAGGGTGTCACGAGAGGTGTCCCGGAAGAGGGATGGAGTAAGAGGGTGGATAGGAGGCTTGGAAAGGAATGGGATGGTGTAACCGGACAAAATGATGTTGAACACCCATTTGTCTGAGGTGATGGAAGCCCACTGGTGGTAGAATGAGAGGAGACAAATTTGCAAAGTGTGTGGGGTTGTCCTTGGTATTGAAACTTGTAGGGGGTTTTCCCGGGCTCTTGACCAAGCCTTCAAATTTGTTTGTTGGCTGATGGCAGTTGAGGGGGCTGAGCCCAACGACTGTCTTAGTCTCGGAGGCCAAGTTTGGTTCCTATTGGGGTTGTTATCCTGCCATTGGTTGAGATACGCAGGGTAGCATGGCCGTTGACAGGGCTGGTACCAGTACTGTCTACGCCTGTTGGCCGTTGTATGCATCCACAATATGTAGAGAGTAGAGCAGTGTGAGAGTCCTTCATGGTGTTAAGGACTTCATTGGTTTTGGCCACAAATAGCTTCGCATGATCAAATGGCAGGTGGTCATGGTCCTCACTGCAGTATCAGCAGCATGAAGTGCTGCCTGGAAGGCTGACAGGAAATGACGTGTCCTTCAGATACTATGGCAGCAAATTGAGATCTCTTTGCCTCAGAAATGTCGTTCACAAAGTCCATGAGTTTGGTGTAATTGCGAAAGCCATATTTCCCTAGAAAGGCTGATTAGTTTGAAATTCTGAACTGTAAAGTTGCAGAAGTATACCCAAGAGGTCTTTATCTTCTGGAGTGGTGCGAAAGTGATGTGCAGCTTCTACTGCTAAGGAGTTTGGTGTGGGATCAGAAAAGAGAAATTTTGGGGTGTTGGCAGGTATATAGTATTTCTTATCCGCTTGCTTGCACTAAGGTGGGACAGCTACAGGAGTATGTCAGATTGCATTGGCTGGATCCAAAATGGCGGGATTGCTGGGGAGGGCAATTTTGGAAGATGGCGAGGATTGGAGCATATCAGTGAGCTTGTGCTGAGGTCAGAGACTTCCTCCGTAGCAATTTTAAGCTCAACTTCAACTCTCTTAAAGAGCTCATTAAAATCCATGGCTGAAGATGGACCAAAAACCATGAATTGGTATGTGGTGATGTATCAGGAGGTGACTCCTCCATTGCTTGAGGCACTTGAGGGTCTGGCTGTTACACCACTCACAATCTCATCGGTGCAACAGAAATAGCCTCTTTGTGGGGGCTCGGGTGCATACTATGGTGTCTCCTGTATGGCCACTGTACAGGATGCGGTACTGGAGGAGGCATCTAGTGTTGTCCATACCGGGGGGGGGGAGAGGGAACATCCCATGGGTCATAGTGGGGTTTATAATATTGTATTCAAGGACTGCAGTACGGGGAAGAGGAGGCTTGTTCACCTTCCTCTTCTCTGCTGGAGTACTGTAATGGCACCAGGGACATGTGATATAGTTGGTACCGGCAAACAGGGGCAGCCCGTGGCTATAGGTGGACTCAGCCGCCACCGCCCGGGGCACCTGCCAATGACGTCAGCCCATTCATGGCCCTGCAGGCGGGGGCGCCGATCACGCGTTCCATCTGGGGCGCCAGCTGCTGCAGCTGGCCTCGGGCCACCCCTGCCGGCAAAACTGTCAAAAAGTGGTGACTGAGGGGAAACGTCACTGTTAGGTCAGCATATCACATGTACAGCAATGGTACTGAAAGGATCGGTGCCAGAGTCTGCAATGTTAGTTTGTACATTGCCGATGGTGTGTTTGGTACAGATGGAAGCGACTGCTAGTAAGTTGGAGGTACTGAATATAAGACTGGTGCTGCTACTCTGGTCGGTGCCAACAGTGTTGAGGAGCGAATGGACACCATCAGTGCAAAGGAAGTAGATGGTGCCATTGAGCAAACCAGCGGTGCCAGTAGTGGTGGTGCTGCTATAGTTGTTGGTACCAACCAATAGTGGATGTGACAGTACCAATGTAGTCAACAGTACTTTAAGATGTACCAGAGCGGCCACAGGATGGTGTCTGTACCCTTTGCAGTTGGCGTGGTCAACAGTGCCGCAATGCCTGAGGTACCCAGAGCATTAAAAATACTGATGCAGAACCTTTGTACTGATGATCTGGGAGGAGACTCCTTTCAGGAGGAGGGCTTGTGATGAGGAACTCCTCTTTCTTGGTGCCTTTTGCCCTGAGGGAGATCATAGCTCCCTAGGTTGAACTCCTGGCTTCGAGGCAGGATGCGCATTTTTTTTCCCCAGAAGATCAGCTTCAGATGAAGGTCCCTGTCCCTGCAAGTTCTTGCCTTGAGTTTGGCCAGTGGAGACAATTTTGGGAAGAATGGTACTCTGCTAAAAAACTGATGCAGTGTGAGTATCTGTTAGAAATGGAGATTGTTCTCTGCAGGAGGCGCAACATTTGAAATCTGGAGAACTCAGCATGATGTTCCCCTCCCACCCCCCAAATGAACTACAAGTAACTAACTAGATCAGTGTTTCCCAAATGGTTTTCCACGGACCCCCGGACTTATGCAAAGTGAAAATAAGAGTTCCGTGAGAAAATTCCATTACAATAACATTTTATGATTAAAAAAATAATATTAAGCATTTATGAATTTAATTGAAAACAATTTTCATTTGTGTTTGCCACAATAAGTGTCCCTGTGTAATGCCAGCTTAGCCAGAGAGCAAGGACGATGATATCACCACTCAGCATTGCTCATGCAGTCAGTCAGTAGTGCAATCCCCTGTTATATACCACCATAAATCACAGTACTCACTCTCAGGGAGCGTGGATCATGTGGGTGACTGAATACAAATATACTAGCACCACACTGGACAAAGTCGAAGCTGATCGAAATCGTTTCATATGGCCAAATAATAAAAAAAATTTAAAGAAGTTTCTCTGATTACAATTTGAGGCGGCTTATGTCAAGAATATTCAGCTTTATCAAGATGTGCAGTTCGTCATTTGTTACCCTCATCCAGCGCATACTTGTGCAAAAGTGGGATCTCAAATTAGGCAGCAACAAAAATGAAATACAGAAATTGACTGAATGCCGACCAGATATGCGAATCCAACTTTCAGTATTAAACCAAATATAAAAAGAATTTGCCAAGAAAAGAAGAAAAACCACTCTTTGCACTGACAACTGCCAATATAATGGATATTAGTTTGTTAGCTTTATTTTTGGTACACATTAAATGTGATTTTTGTTTTTAAATATGTGCAATGAAACTAAATGTTGATCTCATGATCTTGTTTAGCATTTGTTTATTATCCACAAATAAGTAAGGTCTGCTTTTTCAGCTCCGTATAAGACTTATTAGGGGTTCCACAAAATTCTTTCGAATTTAAGAGTGTTCCAAGGCCAAATAAAATTGGGAAACACTGAACAAGATAATTAAGAAAACAACACTAAGTGACTAATAACTGACTAATGACTAAGAAGGATTTCAAAAGTGTGAAATAAGGCAGACAACTGCAGAGCTCAGTCTCAGACCGAGGGCAGCTGAAAAGAACTGGAGGGTTCAGGCCATGCATGGGCAGCGCCTACTGGCATGGCGCACACTGGTTCGCACTGTGCATTTGCAGCCCCCACAGGAACTGCTTCAAAATCTCCGATCTAGGCGCCAGGATAGCACCAAGACCAAGCATGGAGTTCCACGGGGACCTCTTGTACATCCATAATTTCCTGCAACCAACTGTGAAAACGTAAAAACTGATAAAAAGATACATCCATATATATAAAAAACACACACACACACACACACACACACACACACACACACACACACACACACACACTTAAATATCAATATCCACTGAAATTACTAAAGTGAACTTTGCCAAGTGTAGGTATATTTAGTAATCCAAATCCCAATTTTGGAAAACCAAATTATATACTATACTAGTTCTATGATTTTGGGATAGTGATAAGACTTGTTTATTATGGAAATATGAATAAAGATTCACACATATCTTCAAGATGAGGAAGGGGATAGGAGGTAAAACTTACTTTGAGCTCCTCCATCTGAAGACAATAAAGTAAAACCAGGTCTTGTATCTGCGATGCAAAAAATTCACAACTACTGTTTTTCAGTTAAATTTTTAACTATTCATATGCTGACTTACAGAGAAGTGTTGTAACAATTCATCTTTCTCCTCTTCTACAAAGCCACCGACAGTTAGAGCTTTGGGGCGGTGATCCACCACCATATGATTCAACGTGCCCCTTCCTCTCCCACCACGACCTCTTCCTCTTCCTCTTCCCTGAACGGATACCACCTTTCCACGACCTACAGGCAAGATACCTAAGCGAGCCGCCTATCAAAAGGAAAGGAACATGATGGGCAAAATAATCTTCAGCTTTCATGGGAGCTGAAAACTGTATGTAACAGATATGAAGCACTGGGGCAACAACTCCTTACAAACTCACCTCAACCTGTAGTTGACTGAGCTTTTTCCGCAACTCTGTTGTGTCTTCTCCAGAAGACAATCTTTTATGAAAGTCCAGTTCTGCATCCAAGAGCTCCTTTTGTGCCTTAAAAAAATGTGGATATTAGTATTTCTTAATGCCTTTTATTCCATTTTCTTTAGCCACTACCATTAGGAAAACCCCTCAATATCCATATTACTCCCTAAGTCCAATGTTTGTGCCCAGTAAAAGAAAATGTATTCAACTCTGAAGAGAAAAGATTTAAAATTCCTTTCCTAAGTACAAATGTCAGGTTGGTAAAGATCCTTTGGACAAGCAAACTAGGATTTTAGTGAGCTCTTCTCAGATGACCACTGAATTACTTGGTTCAAAAGCTCTTTTCTATTGGAGTTGATAAATTTGCTCATGCTTATACATATCAGTAGGTATCTGGTTATAAGGATCACAGTTAAGGTTTTTGGGTTTTTTAATGTTTTCACAGGTAAGAAAGGATTTTATTCGCAATGCTGAAGGAGGACAGTTTTACCGCTTGTGGGAGTATCAATTAGTAGTCATTTGTATCCACACTAATCTCTTTGTCCTTGCTAGGGATGTAAAAATCATTTGAAAATGTAACTACCAGCTCCTACCAGTTAACTGGAACCAATAAACTTCACCCATTAAGGGTGAGACTTACCAGTTAACCATTTACATCCCTAGTTCTTGCACCTAAGGCTTTTGCTTAAACCTTTACAATATGGACCTTTACAAATGTCTGCAATTAAAACAGTACCCCTAATGCTTAACATTGATATTACATGTTATTGAGCTAGAAAAGTAATCAATACCTTACTGGTATAATTCATGCAGGACAAACCGGCAAATACTGAGTAACATGACATAGTTCACATTCAGGACTCAAAGAACAGGATTGATAAGAAATACTAATGATTAAATTGACTACACAATTTGATTTCTTTTCAGAACTAATGTGATGTATTTTAGAAGCTGACATTCAAGCAATGTCTGTAATCAACTAAGGTTTGAAATATGCTCAAATTACTGTAACTACATATACCAGTTCTCTATGTACCAGTGTTGTAAAACATAGTAAAGCTTCCCCCTTTGTTCTATACCCATGCTTAATTATCCACACTAAAAGAGTAGGTGAGAAAGTAAACCTGAAGACTACTATTACACAGCTTGCTAAAAATCCCAGTAATGATTTATTTCATATCATTATTAACATAATCTCTCTCCCTCATGTACAGAAGCAGGATAATGCACACACCTCTGTCTTGGACTTCAGTTTAGATGGTGTAGAAGATACAGATGAAGTTTTCAATTCATCCTTTAATTGAGAAATCTTTCCTGTTAGCTCTTTCAAAGTCTTCATTAGTTCTGCCCTCTCCTCTGGTTTCATGGCCTTATTTTTCTCCAACTTAGATATCAACATCTATATAGGTTTAAAAAAACTGAGTAAGATGATACAATTTAGACCAGTGGTTACCAACCAGTAAATCAGGAACTACTGGCAGATCCTGGAGCCTCTGACAGGTGATCTTGACTGGTTTGGCCAAGAGGCTATCAAATGCTGGCACTTCAGCTGCCCGTCCCTACACTGCTGCTCATCTCCTCCTGCCTTTTGCCTTAGAGCTGCCCCCACATTCCCCCACTTGCTGGGTTGGGCAGGGCAGGAAGAGGAAGAAGTGCTGATGTCAGGGTACCCCCTCTCCACAAAATGGAGGAGGGAACAACAGGGCCTGGGATGCAGGGAGTTTGCTGGCTGCTTTTGAGAGTGGTACAGCGTCAGAGCATGGCTGAGTCTGCCTTAGCCCCACTGCACCACCTGTGGTAAGCAGTGCCCAGCTAGAGCCTGCATCCTGAACCCCTGCCCCAGCCAAACCCCCTCCTGCACCCCAAGTCCCTGACCTAGCCTTGAGCCCCCCCAAGACCTAAACTCCCTTACAGAGCCTGTACCCTGAACCCCCTCGTGCACTCCAACTTCCTGCCCCAGGCTCAGATCAGAGCAACTCCAAATCCCTTAACCCGAGACCAGAGTCTGCGCTCCAACCCTCTGCCTCTGCTTGATGAAAGGGAGGAAGGATGGTGGAGTAGGGGAGGATAGAGTGAGCAGGGGTGCGGCCCTGGAGAAGGGCACAAATGAGGTGGGGCAAGGGTATTTTTGGTGTGAGGTAGATCCTGGATGGCACTTAAATTCAACAAAGTGATCTTGTGCTTAAAAAAGTTGGAGATCACTGATTTAAACAATCAAATTGAATAATTTTGGTGCCCACTGGAATCAGAATGCAACAGCTAGAAAAAATTTCAGAATTACCTTTTGACATTCTATTTGTTTTTCTAACATCTCCTGCTTCTTTTTTCTCATATCTTGCTGTAGTTTCATTGCCTCCTACATGAGAAGGACATACTTTCAGTTAGTTATTGGACATACTCAAGTTACGATGAGGAGGAAGAACTAAATTAAAACCACACCACTTTGTCTTAGCTGAGATCTAGAGTAACATCCATTTAATATCACATTTGTCCTGCACTGACATACAATGCTACACTTGACAGCAAGATGGATTCAGTAAGTCTTTCATCCCAAAGAAGGTCAATGGCAGCTTTTCTAACACCCCTTCTACAATGCCAGAGATTTTATGGTTTTTCTTTATAAAAAAGCCCTAATGAAGACTAAAGATCTGTGCATTACTCAAACGTAAAAAAGCTCTGATCCTGATTCACTGTGTCACTAACACCTAATTGCTCCAAGTGAATGCTGCAACATGCACACAAAACAAGTGACAGCATAGACCACTTAAATGAAAACATTTGTCTATCCCACTTCATCTTTTTACAAACATTCTCTCAAACAAGTAGGATAATTTACAACTTTAGAAGAGAGGAAACACTCTGATAAGGAGAGCATTTCCAGGAAAGAAAAAAAAAATGCAATACTGTACACTTAAAACCATACGCTCCCTTTACTGCAAAGGGGAAGAACTCTTGAAAACCACTGGGCCCACCTGGAAGTCTATAATAAAAAATGTGGGTTCACTGTAAGAGGCAAATCATCCCAGAATGGCTCACTGCTCTACAAGAAAGTTAAAGCTATGTGACAAGGTGTATCAGGCCCTGAAGCCCCCTTCTGGAGGCCTCATGGTTCTACCATACTCTGCCCCCAAAAGAGCTGTAGAGTCCTCCAAGATACCCAAAAAAGCTGCAAGGGGTCAGCCAGCCAGGGCCCAGCAAACTCAGAAACTAAAGAGCCAGAATGAGTGCAAAGGGCTGGCTTAGTCTGGGGCTGCAGGAGGTACAAGGGCCAAGGCAAACAATTACTAGCAGAGACTGAAGGAGCCAAGCAAAGTGCTCCTAGATGGCTCTGTGATGCAAGATAAGGGCCACAGGCAAGTGGCCCAGGGAAATACAATTAGCTAAAAAGAACATGGCACAAGGCTGCAATTTAGAGGTGTTCCTGGTTTGAGATCTGGAGTAGTGGACAGGCCAAGGTCCTCCCATCAGCCACTGGAGAAGTGGCTAAATCCTTCCTGAAGAAAGGGCTGACTGTACAACAGTGTTACCTTAGAAAGGGCTGAACTGAGACTCAATCTGCTGGAGAGCTGGGGTCAGTGACCTGAGTTCAAGAAGAGTGGCTGAACTGGAAACCCTGAGGTCACTGAGGACTCATGGGAAGGCAAAGAAGAATCCCCAAGACCACTACTTCAGAGCAGGAACACTTGCAAAGTAATCTGATGCCATGATGGGCCCTGTTGGATGGATTGACTAAAAGACTGAGCCTGTAGAAGGCTACAGGACATTACTAAAGGCTTTGAGATAGGCTTTGTGAATTGTAAACCCCACAGAGATTTGTCTGTTTTCATGCCTGGACTACATGTGACTTGGTCAGCGGAATGATTCATCAGAGACCCACCTGACAAACACAGGGGCCGTCAGCTGGCACCATGAGCTGAGAAATTCAGAAAAAAACTGCAGGTACATGCACTCACCCAGGAAATATGCTGATGTAAGAGGTCATTTCTTTACAAGGACCTTGACTTTTATAATATCCATTAAAAATGAATACAGGCAGTCCCCGGGTTACATGGATCCGACTTACATCGGATCCCTACTTACAAACGGGGTGAGGCAACCCCACACTAGCTGCTTCCCCTCAGCAGACCAGGGAGACACGAAGCTAGTGCCCCCCCCCAGCAGACCAGAGAGACGCAGAGTGGCTTTTCTCAGCAGACACCTCAGCTTGAAAATAAAGGACTGAGGGAAGTGAGGTGTGGGAGAATAAAACTGAGCTCTGGAGAAATGTTTGGCTAGAGTTTCCCCTACAATATGTACCAGTTCCGACTTACATACAAATTCAACTTAAGAACAAACCTACAGTCCCTATCTTGTAAGTAACCTGGGGACTGCCTGTATACAAAATTACCTGTTTCTTTTTAAGGGCCTCTTGAACATCATGGGATTTAGAACCTGTACCAGATTTCACAGACGTCTTTAAGTTTGGGGAACTGTACACCATTTTTGTATGGATTGTAGAAGGAAATGTCTGAAATAACAGAATGCTGAAGTCAATTAGATTATTATCCTAGCACATGGTTATAAGCACATGAACAAGCTTTAAGAGTAATACCTCCAGGGCATGTCTAGACTACATCCATCTTTCTTTGTATCAAAATTGCAAATGAAGCCGGGATTTGAGTTTCCCGTGCTTCATTTGCATAATGGCGTCTGCACGTTTTCGAAAAAGGGCTTTTTGAAAGTGAAATCACCATCTAGATGCAGTTCTTTTGGAAAAAATTTTTTTGAAAGATTCTGTACTCCTGAGGGTTCCCCCCCCCCCTTGAAAAAGGTCTAGACGGCAGTTTCATTTTTGAAAAGCCCTTGGTACGGCCACCACTATGCAAATGAAGCATGGGAAATTCAAATCCCGGCTTCATTTGCAATTTTCATCAGTCTAATTTACATCCCTCTTTCAAAAGAGAGCTGTAGTCTAGTCATGCCCCCTGTTTACAACTAAGATGTCTAAAAAGAAATTATGCTATTTGACATTTAGGTGATGCATGACAACTTACTATACAGAGCAGTGTTTGCAAGCAATTAAAAAAATTAACAACTAATCGCTGTTAAACAACTTAATGCCGTTTATTTAAACATTTGTAGATGTTTTCTACCTTATCAAATATAAAGATTTCTATTACAGCACAGAATACTAAGTATACAGTGCTCACTTGATTTTTTGGTTAAATATATCTGCAACATAAAAATGATAAAAGAAATAGTATTTTTCAATTTCTTTATTGCGGAAGTGCAACTTACAAATGTAGATTTTTTTTTTGTGGTTACATAACGGCAGTCAAAAACAAGACTATGTAAAACTTCAAAGCCTACCAGGCCACACAGTCTTACTTTTTGCCAGCCAGGGGCTAGGACAAACAAGTTTGTTTATATTTATAAGAAATGCTGCTGCACTGGGGTGCGATCTTTTTATCAGGAAAGTTAAGTTTAACAAATATAGGATTATGTACAAAAAATTACTGCATTCAAAAATAAAACAATGTAAAAACTTCAGAGGCTACATTGTGAACACAAAGGTGGCAACAGTAGAAAGAGAAGGTGAGTGCAATAATCTCTTTTGTTGAACAAGCTCAAAAACTTCTCATACAAAGAGAAGTTGGTCTAACAAACAATATTACCTTGCTTCTTTAATAACCTGGGATCAACATGCTATAACTACACTTCAAGTATAATAAACATGAGTGCATACAGGAATCAATAACAGCATAATTCTGCCCAGAAGAGTGAAGCCTGAATGCTTGCCAAACAAAAACACCCCATCACTTCTCCCCTATTCAAAGGACTTATTTAGAGAATACTGCAGGGAACGATAAGAGACAGTGAGGCCATAGCAAGGTGATGCTGTCAGTTACACAAACCACAGCAGGATCAAATTCATCTCTACTAACCACCATGGAGACTAAGCATATTACTTTTGCATTATATACAGGTTACCAATCATACTGTAACATTGCACTCTGCTCAGAATTTTCTAAATGCGATTCCCATTAAAAGAGCAATAGTTGTTCAGCCTAAACCTTGCATGATTCTTCCTTTCCCCCTATAAGTATGTCCTTCGGTTAGCAGCACTACTCAGCACCACAGCATCAGTGCAACTCAATCCCCATTATCTGATCTGTATGAAGATCACTATACAACCATCTAAAAAGTACCTACTCATGCAGGTTGGTGCACACAAAGGCTACGTCTACACTACAAGTTCTCAGCAAAAAAATATGCTAATGAGGGATTCATTTGCATGAGTCGTCTCATTTGCATATTTTCTGCCAATCCATTTTGTGATGGGGTTTTTGCACTAAAACATGCAGTATGGATGTTGTCTTTTTGGGCAAAAACACCTTTTTCTGCAAGATCCTTACACCCCAAAAAAGATGGTTAAACCTATCTTGCGGAAAAAGGGGTTTTTGCCCAAGAAGAAAACATCCACACTGCTCGTTTTTGCACAAAAACGGATCGGCAGAAAATATGCAAATGAGATCAAGACTCTCATTAGCCTATTTTTTGCACAGAAAACTTGTAGTGTAGACGTAGCCAAAGAGTAAGTTTACAGGAACAAGAAAAGGAATCTAGTCATTAGAGAGTCTCATCGCAAATAGGAAATTGGAGATACAGAGATTAAATTACTTGCTTGAGATTACACAAAATATTAATGGAACAACCATATACAGAACCCACAAGTTGTATTTACTCATCCTCCAATCTAAAGAATAGTTAAAGTACTAAATTTTAAAAATGTACAGACACTAATTTTTGTCAGACATACCTGAGAATCCTCTGCAGTAGCACTGGACTGGTTTAACAAATGTGCTGTATCTGTCTGGTTTCCACCTGCTGCTCCAAGGCGACGTTTAACTGAAACCTTATTAAGGACATAAGCACCCGATGCCAGTGGTTTACTTATCACCTATATATGAGTACATATAAAAAAAGAAAGATTATATAGTTGCATTTTTAAAGTATTGTTCACTTCAAAGCATTGTTGATCTTAAAAGCTTTGACTAGTCTGACAAAGCAGCATCATTTCGCACGAGAGCAGTATACCTTAGACACATTGCTATGTACCGTTGCAGATGACGGTTGGGCAGTCAGTGTTTGTTGCTGAAGATGAAGCTGGTGATGCAGAGACTGTGGTGGTGGTTGCTGATGATGGTGCAGGTGCTGCTGCAACAGTGGTGGCTGCTGCTCACCTTCCCTATGCCATAGAACTCTTATGAATCGATTGTTTAAAACTGCCTCTGTGCTGGAAATGGCCTTTCTGGCCTCATCATTAGTTAAATATTGAATTAGAGCAGCTTCAGGATCATTCTTGAAAGCAACCTAAAACAGAAGTTTAGCATTTATGAACAATTACCACTGATAAATATGAAACAAAGCATCTGAAACTTCATGTAAAACTATATTTGACAAATATCCACAAGAAAGAAGGGAGCTGTATTTTTCCAAGTATTGATTGCACAAAGATGACACACAGGTAAGTCAAAACCAAATGTCTTCTGACATACATAAAATCTATGGTCTATGCTGTGTAAAATATGTAGTAAAATACAGTACCATTGCACTATTTGTCACCATTAAATATTCACTAAGACATGAGACAGGAAGAATCATTGCTACTCCTATCACAGATGCTCTCTGCATTCCCAGTTCCTTTAAACCTCTTATGGAAGGGCAGGGTTTGAATCCATACAAGACTAATTATGCAATGTATTTAATTAAGCCTTTGGATTCTGCACAAGGGCCCAATCAAGTAACTACAGTGCAAGCCACAAAGGGTTGCTCAATTTTTAGGAACAACACCTCCTAATTCCTTGACACACATTTGAGGAAAAACAACTGTTTTATTCCATGTCAGTATCCAAGTCCAATTTTATTTTCCAGTATGGTTTTCCCTGAGGTCCCTAGTTTATTCTCTTGGGACTAACCTGCCAGTCAAAGACAAAGAGCCTGGAAACTTTGCATGTTAAAACAGCCTTCCTTTTGTGAGGGAATTCTTTGTTTCTATATTCTCCCCTTCCATGGAAAATTACCTGGTCCGACCCTACCAGTTGGGGTGGTCACACATCTTCTCAAAAACACTCTTGAGCTGTGGATGCTCCACAGGTTTTTGTGCAAAAACCCTGTAGTGTAGACGTAACCTGAGGGAAACACCCTTGCTGGCTTTCATTTGCACATGTAAAACCATAAACCATTCTCTATTTCATAACTAACTTTATGTACAAGAAAAAAAACTTTAAAAACAACAAATATCCTAATAGCACTTTAAAAAGCGAACAAAACATGTAGATGGTATCATGAGCTTTCATGGGCAAAACCCTCTTCAGATGATCCTTATGTACAAGAGAGATACATACACCAAAATAGGATATACATATCCGGCAGATTGTGACATTAAAATTGAGTTTATGTGAGGTATTTTGTCCAACATCTTTGAGTTATACATATTTGTCTCTAAGACAATTTCATAAAACATGGGGGAAGGACCAGTCACAATTATATTTTTAAAATATACTATTTTTGGTGGCAAGTAGTTTATTACCAATAGAGTATAGAGAAACCTAGACATTTTCAGACTAATAATGTCTTTACTCATATTGAATGCAAAACATGGGCAGATTTTCAGAAGTCCCACTTCTTATTCAGTTCCTATCAAAAACCTGAAGGAAGCCAACCTACTGTCCCAGCCAAAAAGTGGGAAACAACTGAGTAAGATTTTAGCCTACAATTAGAAATATTTTGTTTATATACTGTTCTTCATTCCAAACAATCCCAAGGGCCATGACCTGAATTGTAGTCACATCTCTGATGGAAAATGGCAGTGAATTTACATGCAAAGCCTTTGGGTGAAAGATGCTTTGATAAACCTTATGAAAAACATGATGGCATCTTCAATCCCCACACAAAAACAGGGAGGATTTTTTTTTAACAAGGTATCTTCCAAATATCAAGTGTCCAGTGCTCAATGAATGTTGCCATTTCAGACCTAATGCTTAATGCCCATGCTTTACCCTCAATTTTGAGAGTTTAAAATGCACCTGCACAGCAAGAAGCTTCTGCAATATTTTAACAGAATGGAGACAGTAATGCAGAGTGCACCAGGAAGAAGCAGCTTCTGATACAGTACCTCACATTCCCCCTTTACCTATCCTGACTTCCCAAAAGATACAATATGGTTGTTTGACAAAGTTATTGAAGAGATATCAGGAAAAGATATCTTGATTTTACCTGAATGTTAACAATAGTTCCAAATTTGCTGAAATGTTCATTGAGTTGTGTAATATTATTCAACTCAGGTGGGATTTTTCGAACTTCCAGCCTGGTGTTAGTGTACTGATTCTTTTTCATGAACGCTGGTTTATTCTGATTATTGGCTTGCCTAGAAAAAGCAAGAGCAAGGTAACATTTTTGAGAAACATACTTGTGTTTAAAGGCAGCAAAAATATTGTTTCATGCTAACTAAATAGCCTACTGTGCATTACTCTCAATATGACACTCTCAAGGTTTAGTGAGAATATATTATATGTAGCTTTTAACATCTGTATTATCAAATGGAAGGAGTTCATTCACTAGACCACACAATCTTTTCAGAGATCTCTGGCTCAGACAATTATATTCAGAATACTGAATGAAATCTATTTTACATTACAGATTAGTCTGCTGCACTTAGATAATCTCGCCATCCTTTCTGGCCTTGTACTCTAACTTATGAGTTCTTACTTTCCCATCCAGGGTTTCTTTACAGGCGGCCCTTCCATGCTACTTGGAGGTCTTTTCCTGTTGTCTGGCTCAAGAACCACTCTGGTTACATTGCTGCTGTTATTTGCAACAGAAAGGGGAGTTTCTGTCTGGATGATAATGTTGGCAGCTGGAGAAAAAAGAAGCACATTAATTAAAATGCTCTAACCTAGGTATTTCCAAAATTAATATTTAAATGTCAAAAATGAGTAAAATTTAAAAAACAAGTGTCAAAAGGGTAGCCGTGTTAGTCTGAATCTGCAAAAACGATGAGGAGTCCTGTGGCACCTTATAGACTAACAGATTTATTGGAGCATAAGCTTTTGTGGGCAAAACGAAGTGGTTCTTTGCCCACGAAAGCTTATGCTCCAATAAATCTGTTAGTCTATAAGGTGCCACAGGACTCCTCGTCGTGTTTAAAAAACAGGTTGTTTAAAGAAAAGCACAAGTATACATCTTTACTATATATTTTAGAAACTTGCCTCCGTCCGTCCTTCCATGAGTCCGTTTGTTCAAGAACTCTTCCTAAATGGTACCAAATTTAGAATGCAGTTTCCTCTTCTGATAAATTGTCATAACTTAGAGCAATGTCAGGGTTTGATTGTGCCAGGAGAACGAAATATGCGTGCATTGGATTGTTTTGCATAAGATGGAAAAGGATTTGGAAGGAGGGGCAATAATACTGTAGAATGATCACAATGGGTCATCAAGGGGCCAGAGATGGAGACCAGGACAGCTATAATCCCACTGGGCCAGCAGGAGGTAGGATGGGGTGTAGAAAGGAACAGATATCTCACGGATGGCCAACCCATTCTGGGCAAACAACAAAAAAAAAAAAAAAAAAAAAAAAAAAAAAAAAAACACACTCTAAAAAAGGCTCTGCCCCTTTAAGAAACCACATTAAAAGGCATTTTTGAGGCTTTTTGGCCATAGCAGGCTCCCACCACCTGCCGCCATCTTTATTTCTGCAGCTTTCATGGCTGCACCAAACAGCTCCCCTGCCCAGGTCAGAACAGGGAGCTGGGAGGAGAGGGCCATTTTTGGGGACACAGGGGCAGCTTTCAAGCCACAGGAAGGAGGGGGGAGTGTGCTTCATGAGCTGTACACTGGGGGTGTGGGGGGGAGGGAAGAGGAGAGAAGCCACATGCGGCTCATGAGCCTCGGGTTGGCCACAGCTAAGCTACTATATATTTTAAAGTTTGTCTTTTTGTGGGTTTGTGTCCCCCCCAGCTGGGGGACAGGCATACCAGCACTCAGCAGGGCCAGCTGCAGTAGCCAGTGACCTAGCCCCAAGCTTCTTCAGAGAGAAGGCTGGGATTATCTTCTCTCCCTGGGGCAGTCTGTATACCGAAACTCTGATCCCCAGAACAATGATTTAAATGAGCCCTCAAGAAAATTGAGTTAAGGATCCGAGCAAAGCCGGTTTAATCTTTAATAGTGGATATATGTTTGTTCAGCTATAAGTACTAAAAATTAAAGATTTTGATAAGGTGGTTAAATTTGTTTATGGAATTACTTCAGGGAATGCAGATAACTTGCTTAACAATAAGCTAGGTTGCAGATGGTAATAATCTATTTTAAAATTGACTTTAAACAAGCATCATATTAAAATTAGAGAAAAATCTGTCAATTAAACCTCATAGTTTAACTTACAAAGTAAACATTGGCCTATTTAAGTCAATTAAAGTATGGGGCTTCAGCAGATGTTTGTGGATGTCTGCTCAGGCCAAAATTAACATTTTTTAGCAAGGCTTGCTTTCCTGGGCTGAAGATCAAGACAAAGGTGAGAGGCTGCAGAAGTGCTGAGCAGCTGCAGATCACTATTAGGTGCAATTAAGAAAACTAGAGTGGTTAAGAATATTTGCCTGGCACTTTATTGCATCTTACTTAGATGCTGCGATTGCCATTAGTCTTTCATTCCCCCATGCCAAATATTCATTCCCCTAAAAAGAAGCTTCTGGAACCGTACATCATTTCATATGCTTTGTATAAACTACCAGAGACTTTGGTAACACTCAGTTACACTAGTCAGAACGAAGGACACAGGATGCACAGATTTCTTCATCTTAAATATAAAAACAGCTTGCAAAGTATGTGAACCTCTCTTAGCCCAAGCAAACTTCAGTAGAAGGGGATTGAAACAAAATTTACCCATACTGTTCTGGATTTTCCCCATTCTGAAATGCATTCTCCAAAGGAATGTGATAGTGTAAATAGTTAACTGATGAGCCTGGGCTCGTCGGTTAATCTTCAGTTAACGCAGCTCCCTCACCATCAGAAGCAGCAGCGCAAGAGGGGAGGTAGGCCCTCCCTTCTCCAAATGAAAATATGTAACTACTGAAAATTTCAGCAGTTACGCGTTTACTTGAAGACATGCATTTTAACATCCCTAATTCTCAGAGAGGAATCTCTTAGAGTTTGTAATGAAGTTAATTCTGAGTTTACAGCATCACAATCTAATGCTACAGATTCCACACTAAGATTTCACAACTAGACAATTAGTAAAGATGATGACTCATTATGGAGGGAACTCTGCAGCTATGTGTCTCTTTGCAAATCTGCTTTCCAGTTTTGCTGCCTAGTAAATATATGAAGTACAAATAGCTGCATCCTCAAATCCCCCTCTCCTCCACCCATTGTGGTAGTTTCTTTCATACTATTGTGGACCCTAACAGACTTTTTTTAAAGCTCACAGGTCTTATGTGCAAGCTGAAGGTTTTTTTTTTTTTAAATACATGAAAATTAGCTCTTCACTTAGACTATACCAGCTCAAATCAATATATGCAACAGTTCTATTGACAAAGATGTAAAATTTCATGTGTGACAGACAGCCTGTTTCAATTAAGGTACCTTGCCTAAAATAAACCAGACCCTCCAGTGTTCAAGCTCTGCCACAGCAGCTCCTTTGTTGTCACACTCACTTCAGACGACACAGGGAATTTAATGAGTGAAGGTGGCTCGGATGGGCATTCTGATGCCCCTGCTGCCAGAATGAACCTTTGTTCCTTTAAAGCAGTGTTTAGGCTGCTAATGTTATAATTAGGGATGTAAAATAGTATTCAAAAATTATCCAATTAAACATTATGTTTAACTGGTTAACTGGGATCCTGCAGGTGTGCGGACTGCTCCAGCCTGGCTGGGCAGCCAGTTAACCAGTAGTCATGCTGGTAAGGGCAATGCTTACCAGGTAACCAGTTAACCCTTTACATCTCTAGTTATAATGGGTATGGTTTTAGGATCAGGAAGCTTTTTGCCCCATCTCATCTTGTTAAGTGAATTTGAAAATGAGAGAGAAAAGTGATTTGTATTATGCAGTAGTCCATACACTAGCAAAGCAGATCAAGAAATTGGGCTTTTTTTAAAAAGCTTTTAGATCAAGTTATCAAAATCATTAATAAGAACATTGACATTTAAGTGTGTGTGTGTGTGTGTGTGTGTGTGTGTGTGTGTGTGTGTGTGTGTGTGTGTGAAAGTTAATGCCCAAATGTTACTTCAAAGGCTCTTTTTGTTTCAGCCTACAACAAAATAAAACCAAGTGATAATTGGCTCAACTCTGCTCATAAGATTAGTCACAGCAGTATCATAAGAACATAACATACATAAGAACAAACCAATGGTCCATCTAGCCCAGTATCCTGTCTGCAGACAGCGGCCAATGCCAAAAGCCCCAGAGGGAGGGAACAACAGGTAATTCAGAAACCTTTCTTACCTCTTGGATTTGTATCCATCTCCCCAGATGTTAGGCCAATCAGATTTGGTCGCTGTGTCTGTGTTCTTGTAAAGAACTGTCTGTACTGAGATCTACCAGCACTGGTAATACTGGGTGCTTCTGGGTTATAGCCATCTGGTTCATATGTATCTATCAAGAGACAGAAAAAGAAATAGGGATTCTAAATAGTTCCAAAATTCCAGCTTAGTTGTTTTGAGGAAAATGATCTGAATGTAGCATGTCTTCTGTACTACACTGAGCAGATAGGCCTGGTCTCAGGGAAAAGATATTACACAGAGTTCAGCTAGATCATCCTGAAGATCCACCATGATCTGCAAAACCATGCTGAGATACAAGAATTAGAGCCCGTTTTTGGGGGGTAGATGAGAGGAGAGTAAAATAGGACACAGAAAATATACTTAGCCTACTGAATATTACTGAACTCTGTAGTAAATCCATGTTCTACTCAGTTTAACATGATTGTTAGTCCGAGGTAGGTTAATACCTCAACCTGGTTCTCAATTCCAAAATGAACGAAGATGTAAGCCTTGTGAGTTATTTTTAATAAATAAGCCAGGCAATATGGTTTCCTTACAGCACTCTTCACTAAATCTAATTATAATCCAGTGCCTGAGGGGAAGCAAAGAAGATACTTATGTATTTTGCTGATATTCATTTGACATCACATATAAAAACCCCCAGCAAACTGGCTTTTCACATTGTCAAAAGGTCAATGAAGATTCCCAATATACATTAGGGATGTAAGAGTTTAACCATCTAAATGGTTAACCAATAAGCATCAGTTTATCAGGTTTCCATTACTATTCAACTCCTGTGCACACTGGCTCCTGGCCCTGCTCCTGGGAAGTCAGCTGCCACCCCACGCTGCAAGGTCTTATATACTGCAGAGCCCGCAGTGCGGGACAGCCAGCTCCCTGGAAGTAGGACTGGCAGAGTGCTGTGAGCTCTGACAGGCCCACTCCTCCTGGAGAGCTGGTTGCTGCCCTGTGTTGCAGGATCTTGTACTGCAAGCCCACAATGCAGGGTGCTAGTTTGCTCCCCAGGAGCTGCAGGGATATCCCTCATCATCCTTCCTTCCCTAGGCCCACTCATCCATAGATCCCCAAAAACTTCAATTGTGTAACTGCTAGGATTTTTAACTGTTACTGTTTTTAAAAAATTTTAACACATCCCTAATAATACATTTGAAAATGTACAGTATATATTTCAGAAAGAGCAAGCGTGACAAATGGTTGAACTTGGATATTTTTAAAAAACAATCTAGCTTTAGATTTCTGCTAAGCATACATCAGTTGTCCTATAGTTGCATCCCATCTGATTTCAAGGGCACAGTCAGTGAGTCACAATTTAAGAGTAGGACATGACTGTCTCCCAGACAGGCATCAAAGCATCAATAACATCCTGAGAATGAAGACAGATTCATAAACCACGGAAAGCCCTACAACTGAAGGATAATCATATGGGGACAACATGGACCAGTTTTATTTGGAAATAAATGA